GTTTCCCTTTCCCCCCCCCCCCCCCCCCCACTGGAAAAATCCCAACAAAAACATAAATATCTGTAAGAAGTAGCTTTCGTAGATAAGTAACTTGTAAACGAATTTCTCAAAAAACAACAACAAACAAACATGACGTCGTATAAAAATAGACATTTGATCTATCTAAAGATATTCATATATATTTTTCTCCTTCAAAGATGCTTAAAACTTGATAAAGAAATATTGTTCAAACACATGAAGTAGAAGAAAACTACAGAAGTACTCACGAGAAGTCCAGTAAACACAAATCTTCTGACTTGTCCCACGGCTGAGCACGTTCAAAATATAAGCGGCGAAGACGCGATAAAGACTGATAGGGTCAAGCAAAACATTGGTGGATATAGATGCTGCTTTCGTAAGATTCGTTACATCTATCTGAAGACTTTCGTTGATCACATGCGTATATAACAGCCACTAATTGTAAGCACGATTACTGACATAACCTTTTCCCATCAACAGGTCAACGATTCAAGGTCACGGCAGACGAATGTTTCTTTATGTTTACGATTTCTGTAAGCTATGTCATTCTGCTCTACTTTTCACGACATTCTTGAAGTTTTACGACAATGCTATCAGAAAAATACGGACGGTATCAAATAAACAGTGGGATAAAGCAGAGTAGTGGCAATCACTCCGCACACCCAGTACACAGATTCTGATGGCTGACCGTGACATAGAAATGTAACCCACTTCCTTTTGATTTTGAAGAGCCCAAAATAGTTATAACCTTTCTGCAGAGCCCTCAGCTTTGCTCTACTTTTTTGTTTGTTTCGGTAAATGTTTTAGGTGCTCACAGCTGCACAAGGTCATATGAGTGCGCGGGGCACATTTTAAATGTTTTCAGTTTGACAGGAAATAATTAAAATTTTTTTCAGGGCGGTGACCAAAGCCTACTCTTATCGCTTTTGGACCACCAAGGGATCCTTGATGTGCGCAACATGCGCACGGGACCTCTGAGATTTTTTACCCTGATCCGAGAAAGCTTAGGAGTTAGATCTTACCTACCCTAAAATCAGGGGTGTTGCTAAAAGACAGCAGTAAGAAGGAATCAAGGAGTAGCAGTAGAAAGACTGCAGAAAGTCAGGAACCCAGAGGAGGGAGCAAGGGAAGGGGGTGGGGAGAGGGCAGAATGTGGAGACGAAAGTAGACAACAGAACATGGTTAGAGAGCAGGAAAGGATCTGAAAGGAGAAGATTTTGTAGAAGAACATTCTTCGTCGCAATAAAGTTTTGAACCCGAGAGTTATTGAAAGAGAAGCGACCTCTAATCCACGAGAGCCCCCTGCTCTATTTTTCACGGATGTAACGGTTAGACGCCTCGCCGTCTCGCGCACACACACACACACACACACACACACACACACACACATACACACACACACACACACACACACATACACACACACACACACACACACACACACACACAAACATCTGAGTGGGGGTACATTTGTATCGAGTACTTCAGTCTTTTTGCTGGGATGCTGCAATCATCTCAGCTCGAGTTAACCCTGACTGAGAGTGTCGAAGCCCGCCTCCTAAATGATCTAAATTGTGTCAGTGGGGTGGGGTGGGGCGTAAAATAAACGTATTTTTGAAAATGAATATAAAGAAAATCTACTTTTACGTCTGTCACATTTCGAAAAACGCCCACATCAACACAATTTGAATAATTTAGGAGGCGTGTTGCGTCTACCCTGGCTGTCAGGGAGAAGCCAGTGCTGAGAGGGATACAACCGCCGAGTAGTAAGACGGGGATGCTACACTAAAGAAACCTTTGCACTCTAGAATCGAACTCAAGTCTTTTGAAAACAAAGGCAGATAGCCTACCTACTACCCCATTGATTCGTGTTCTCACGGTAGAGTGTAATACAACCACTATCTGGAAATTAATTACAAAGACACTAGATTTAGTAACGACAACATGCTCGCGTAACTGTGACAGGGCAAATCGTGGGACAACTCAGTTCAAATTACTGTCAAACTAACAACTGGAAAAATCAACCTGCATCTCCTCGTGACATCACGAATTAAAAAAATAAAAACCCAACTAGCAAACGACAGTAATATCTTGTATCAATGCACATCGGCCTTGGTTAAAGGGACAAGACCCAAAGTCGAATTGCGCTTTGTGAAATTCTGAATAAAAGTAAACTTTAGCCTCCCTTTCGAAAATTAACTGACCCATGAAAAAAAAGAAAACAATAACCAGGGTCTCCATTCTCCTTGGAGCCGCTTGTGAGTCGCAACAATGTTATGCAATAAAGACTCTAAATAACTTATTACGACAACGGAGAGTTGAAATTTACTCTTGTCACATTTCGGACATGTCCGAAATTCCGTCCAGAAAGGCCATCGTGGTTAACGAAAGCAGAATGCAGCACAAAATAGAATGGTTTTTTTGGTAAAGTGAGTACGCTATTGTAAGTCAAAATACAACGGTGCAGAATGTTGAAGATGAGTTAGACTGATTGGTTGTGAACGTTTTTCATCCCCCATGGAAAAACTTAAATAGATAGATAGATAGATAGATATATAGATAGATAGATAGATAGGTAAAGAAAGAAGAGAGAGAAAAGGGAAGAGGGAGAGAGGGAGAGAGAGACAGAGACAGAGAGACAAAGAGGGAGAGAGAGAGAGAGAGAGAGAGAGAGAGAGATCGAGAGAGAGACAGAGACAGAGACTGAGACAGAGAGACAGAGTACACGTAAATTGTTATTGACGTGGACGCAACACTAGGATAATACTAAAGGAAACCAGTTTAAAAAAGAAGATTACTTTTAGGTCTGGCTGCTTCGAAACTGATCTGGAGCAAAGAGGTAAACAGCATCCCGGCAGAAAGACAGATATACTCTTACATAATAGACTTCCTCCCATTCAGAAATCGAACCCTCGACATTAGCGAAGAGCCTTTCCATTACATCTGGTTCTCTGAAGCCCGTTCTTCCGGTAGCGCGTAGCGTAACCACAGCCTAAGGTAGTGTGGCACTGTGTGTAAAAACTTTGGGTCAGTCTAACCGTTTTCGGGCTACACGTCAGATTAGTCAGTTGAAACAAATACTCGCAAAAGAACATAATATGATTATCTAAGCCTTAATCTTCTCGCGATATGATATCCTGAAAATTTTCCCCTATTTTTGACAAGTCCACACATCTATCTTGTATCAATTCACGTCGGCCTTGGTTCCAAGGGCAAGGCCAAAAATTGAATTGTGCTTTGTAAAATTCTGGATAAAAAAAGTAAACTTTAGCTCTCTTTTCCTTCGGAAATTACTTGACTCCCCAGCCCCACCCAAAAAGAGAAAGAAAAAACAGCCAGAGCCTCCATTCTCCTTAGAGAACTTGTGGGTCGCCCCAATGTCTTACAATAAAGACTCTGATAAAGTATTATAACAATGAGGAGTTGAAATTTACTTTTGTCACATTTTGGACACGTCCGATATTCCGCCCAGAAAGGGCAGAAAAAGATCAGAAAAAGTGCAGAGAAAGGCCATCGTAGGTAATGAAAGCAGAATAGAAAATACAAGAGAATGATCTTGGGAAAGTGAGTTCTAGTAGACTACAATAAATGGAAACACAACAACGTAAAATGTTGAAGAAGAGTGAGACTGACAGGTTGTAAACGTTTTTCACCCCCCCCCCCCAATCGATAAAATTATATTATCTACAGGTCGGACTGCTCCGTTCCTTCCTGTCGAAGCCGATCTAGGACCGAGAGGTATACAGCCTCCCGGCACAAAGACAACAAAAGAAAATTTAAAATCCCCCAAACAGACCTCCCAGATCCGGAATCGAACCACGACATTTTGAGAGCAGCAGCGAAGAGCTTCTCATTACACCTGGTTCTCTGAAGCCCGTTGTCCCAGTAGCGCGTACCGTAACCACAGCCTAAAGTAGCGTGGCACTTTGTGGAAACACGTTGGGTCAGTCTAACCGTTTTCGGGCAACACGTCAGATTAATCAGTTGAAACAAATACTCTCAACCAAACAACTGATAAACTATGCCTTGATCTTTTCGCGATACGATATCCTGAACTCACCCCCCCCCCCCCACCTGTTTTGACAAGTCCACACGTCATCTATCATATATCAACGCTCATTGGGTTTGGTTCCAAGGAGAAGGCTGAAAGTTGAATTTTGCGTTGTAAAATTTTTGATAAAAGTAAACTTTAGCCTTCCTGTGGGAAATTACTTGACAGAGGAAAAAACCCACCAGTAACCAGGGTTTCCATTCTCCTTGGAGCAACTTGTGGGTCGCCACAGTGTCATGTAATAAAGACTCTAAATAACCTATTATAAAAATGAGGAGTTGAATATACTTTTGTCACATTTTGGACACGTCGGAAAATTCTGCCTCGAGAGGCCAGTGAAAGACCATAGAAAGCTCATCGTTGTTAATGAAAATGGAATTCAGCATGAAATAGAATGGCCTTGGTACAATGAGTACAGTACTGTAAGTGGAAACAATGGCGCAGAATGTTGAAGAGGAATTAGACTGGTTGTGACCGTTTTTCACCCCTATCGATACAATTTAGAAAAACAAATATCGGGAAACTAAACCTTAATCTTTTTGTGATAGGATATTCTGAAAGTTTCCCCCCTTTTTTGGACAAGTCCACACATCTATATTATTATAGTATCAACGTACATCGGCCTTGGCTCCAAGGGCAATGCCGAAACTCGAACAGCGCTAGGTAATATTCAGGATAAAAGTAAACTGTATCCCTCCTTTCCTACGTAAATTACTTGACCCAGATAAAAAAAAACAACAACCAGGGTCTCAATTCTCTGTGGGGCCACTTGTGGGTCACCGCAATGTCTTGCATGAAAGACTCTAAATAACCTTTTACAAAAATAGGGATTTGAAATTTACTTTTGTCATATTTAGGACACGTCCGTAATTCTGCCCAGAAAGGGCAGAGAAAGGGCAGAGAAAGGCCATCTTAGTTAATGAAAGCGGAATTCAGCACACAAATAGAATTGTCTTGGTAAAGTGAGTACACTACTGTAAGTGGAAACACAACGGCGCAGAATGTTGAAGAGAAGACACTGACTGGTTGTGACCGTTTTTCATCCACACCGATACAGTTTAGTTAAACAAACACTGAAAAACTAAACCTTAATCTTTTCGTGACGAGATATCCTGCTGAAAGTTTCACCCATTTTTGGACAAGTCCACACATCTATATTATTATTGTATCAACGTACTCCAGCCTTGGTTCCAAGGACAAAGCCGAAACTCGAACTGCGCTTGGTAAAATTCAGGATAAAAGTAAACTTTAGCCCTCCTTTCTATCGAAAATTTCTTGACCCAGACAAAAATAAGGAAACAACAACCAGAGTCTCCATTCTCTGTGGGGGCCATTTGTGGGTCGCTGCAATGTCTTGCAATAAAGACTCTGATAACTTATTGCAAATATTATGAAGGATTGAAATTTACTTTTGCCACATTTTGGGCACGTCCAAAATTCTGCCCAGAAAGGCCAGTAAATGAAATAGGAGTTAAGGACATAAAGAATGGTTTGATAAAGTGAGTACACAACTGTAAGTGGGAACACAACGACGCAGAATGTTGAAGAGAAGTTAGACTATCTGGTTGTGACCGTTTTTCACGCTTATCGATACAATTTAGTTTAACAAACATCGAGAAACTAAACCTTAATCTTCTTGCGATATGATATCCTGGATTTTGTCCCCCTTTTGACAAGTTCGCACGTCTGTCTTATATCAACGCACATCGGACCTGGTTTCAAGGA